GTGGCTGTTGCCTTTGATAGACTCATAATCTCAAGAGTTGCATTTGATTCTCTGGAGCACCCTCTTAATCAAACAGGAAAGCTCTGATATTAGTAACTGGGGTATTTCTTCAGGCCTCTGTGACCTACATTGCCTCACTGGGTTGGTTAGATTTTCCAGACATGCTTTTATCGCGTTTTACTGCCACATTTTCTTTACTTGCTGCGTTACCTATCACATCCATTAAATACTTGTATAAGCACATATCTCGTCGGTCTGAATGCACAGCAGGGTCAGGGTTAGCCTGGCACTGAGAAAACGTTATTTCACAAACCCATACAACTCTTCAACTTAAAAGAATACTGATTACTTTTACGTGCAGGATCTCCTCAGCTTATCCCTTCTAGGATACTTTTTACACACACCAGGATAGATACAAGAAACAAGGTAATCTATGTTGCCAGTGACTAAACCCTCCACTTGACACCTTTTTCTCTAAAGAAGGAAGAGAGTAGTAATTTCTAATATTGCCATCAACAGCTACAGAAAAAACTCACTCTGTTAAGATCCGCAAGATAAACAAAGCTGTTTAGTGTAGACATTTTAAGGACACCTAAAAACATTTTTGTAATCTATACTAAAAAAGAAGCAATCAGCTATCCAATACCAGTCATTTTAATATAACACATCTAGAAGAGTGTTATCTGAAATATTTTTCTAGAAGAGCAACGGTGCAATGTGATGGTTTATATTATCACATTGACACTGCAGATGTCAAATAAAAAGCGGAAACAAAGAGGTCTCTGTGCCAGTTACTTCTAAGCATTCATAGTAGCACTTAATAAATCCCATTTGTAACTAAATACCGTGATTTACGTTTAGCTTTTCTAAGCGGTTTGATATTTTTGTGCTTCAGAAGGCTACAGCCAAACAGCACGCACAGCTCACCTTCCCATGCTACAGTAATTCATCTCTGCAGATTAAAAAAAGGCTATCCCAGAGAACACGGTGACCCAGAAGCCAAAGATAAAGTGTTTACAATTTGTTCCAGACATCACCTATTTAGCTACATGTAGTTCTTTATATTTACAGCCCCTTCTATTGCTCTGCTGAGAGTAGTAACCTGAATATGCCAAGAACATAGTGGGAGCCATAAAATTACTCCAGTGTCTCATAGCTGCAATGGTTTCACAAGTGCTGCACAGGCACAGTATGAGTAATACCGTTTATAATCAGTTAAGCTAATCATCCTTATCCCCTTCCACAGCCCCTTCTTCCCCAAGGACAGATAAAAGTCATCTTTGAGTGGCTTTTGAGACACTACTCAGCTATTTCAATAGACAAGAGGTCCCATGACCCAGAAAGCATTATTTTGACAATTCAAGCTGTTTTGAAAAGACGAAAGACCAAACCTAGTAAGTGGATATTTGCAGAAATATCCAAGTTTTTGACTTTATTTAAAAAAATGAAACTTTGTCTGCCACTTCATGTCATTTTCCCTGTAATCAGAGCCACATTATATATACTCTAAACCCAGCATTCAGCTTGTCTAGCCTAAGCTAGGTCCTCAAAGTACTAAAGAAATCCTCCAAACCAACACAAAAGACCCCACCCACAAACCCCTTTGGTTTTTCTAACAATAACAGGAAGGTGTTCTACAAGGCTTTTTTTATTCTTCCCTCTTTTGACTACTGATGAGGCTACATTGCCTCATCTGTCTGGCCCAGAGCCACACAGCCACCTAAGCTGTTTGCTGCCTCCTGAGCTGGTGCTTTGAGATACCAAACTCTGACAAAAGCCCCAGTCTGTCTCAGGTTTTGGAAACTAATTGCACCCTATTGGCCTGATGCAAATTAGGAGCCCAGTTAACCACTCAGTTAACTCCCCACCCAGCCTCTCATCACTGATCAGACTCCGATAGAAGCTGCTTGGAGTAGGTGAGGCCGGTCCCTTGGTGTTCAAAGATCAAAAAGGGACTTAGTTAAGTTTTGGCCTTTTTCCAGAATGAAGCACCTGCGCAAGGGGTTGCTGCAGACAATTTTGTATTGAAGTAAGCAGAACAGGTACTCATGCTATCTAACTTAATGGTTATCTAATCCTAGCGTTCTGAATTTCTCACCTAGAGATGCTTCCCTGTCTTGCTGACAAAGAGAAACTTAAAATGATTCAGGAGACCAAAATACAAACACACTGCTCCTCCAAAGTCCCTCTACGTCGCGTTTTAGGCACTAGGCGCTGTCTCCTTTACCCCGACTCTGAGCCAAAAACTATAAGCACCGCTATTCAATAGGAGTTCAAATAGAGTTAAGAAAACTGTTAAAGGAAGATGATTTAAGGTAAGGAATTCTAGATGCCAATTGTGCACAGAAGCAGGCTCATTTTTATCTATTTCCTTTCCAATGTCACCTGCCTCAAGTGACTTTATGCTTGGAACGAAAGACCACGGAGGAACACCACAGGGTCAGTTGTAATAGCCTGGACTGAGCTACTGCTTCATGCTGACAAAAGCAAATCCTACGGGGAAAGCAGTGAGGCAGAAAGATACATCAACATGCTTCAGCTACCAGAACTCTTGAAAAAGTATTGTATTAGGTCAGAACAAAGGTCGGTTTTGTTTTTATTCATTCTGACAAGACACAAATATGAAACGGTAAAGCACATAAGAATAAAACATTCCTAGACAGTTAATATCTTTGTATATTTTACAGCTCACAGTAGTCAGTAATTTAGGGTATTTCTGAGCGGAGAAGGTATTTAAGCTAATATTTTTAAGTAACTATAAGTTTCCACATATAAGTCTAATCCTTTTGACCCCAACGCCCTAAAAAGGCTCATAGCAGCGAGCTCCACTACTGCACGACACAGTGCAATTAAACAGAAGTTTGAAACTTGCTGCCTGATCATTTAGTTGAAATCTTAATTCTTACAAGCCAAACATTCCCAAATCAAAGTCATGGACAACATCAAACTGGCCTTCTGTTGCATTATAGTTTTCTGCCTCTTATAAAACAGCAATGAACATTGTACAGGAAGGAGAAGATGACAAACCTTGATTTTAAGCTGTGGCATAGTATTCTTTACTGCCATTGACCCCTAACCTAGCATTTGCAGAGAAGCATGCTAGCAGCAAGATTTTCTTCCTTAGCATAGTTTAGAAAGCCTCAGTCTTCATTATTACACACATGACATACAGTGACTTCCATTTATTAACACTGTTACACCTGGCACTTGAGCATTTGGCTATTCAGTACCAAAAGATCTTTCCAAAGTTTAAAGGAGGGTTCAGATTAATCACCCTGAACACACAGTGCTTTCTGCAGAAAGTCATGAAGTCACTCTTAAAAACATTCTTTGTATCACTGAATCCCAGACCTCCCTAGGTATAAAGTCCAATATTTCTCCCCATTCTCTGGCTTGAGCAGTTTATGGGGAAAAAATCTTTATTATTCATGTTTCTGAATTCCTGTGACATTAGCAACTGAAGACCCCAGAACGACCTTGTGAATGTGACCGGCTTGCATAAGTGTGGGCCGCGTGTGTGTGTCTTTTCTTTACACCCAGTTATATATCTGAATGTAAATTGGTATTAATTAAGAATATGTAAAGGTATACTTTGATATAAATTTTCTGTATTTGGAAGAAAACCAAGTCCTGATGAGCAACAGGAAGAGCTGAAAATAGAAACAGGGGCCAGCTGGTCTCTTCTTCCAAATGCGAATGTTTTATATTGTGCCTCGTAAAAATGAAAAGTTTGACTACACGAAGTGGCCAATATAAAAGGGTTACCACATCACCATGTGTCTGTGGTTTTGGGAGTGATCACTGCTGCAGGGCTTTCTACTGTCCTCCTAATGAGTCTGTGAGGCTTTTTAGGAGAACACAAGTAGAACCCTACAAAGATTTAAGGATGGAGACTCTAGGTGCAAAATAGGGGCTGACACCCTTTGCTTAGAGACCATGACAGTTCTGAATATACACGAAAGCCGGTTTTTTAAGCACATAGGAAATTCTGTACCCTCTGGATTTTGGACTGTGATCCATGTTAGGTACAAGCATATTTAAAAGCCTGTGCATAACCATAATTACCATGTTAGGCACAAAAACTGCACTGAGGTGAAACAGTGCAGTGTAAGTCCTTGTCACAGCAGGAGACCTTCAGTATCAGATTGGAGCACATTAAAACATATGCACAATCCCATTTTTAAAAACATACAGCCATTCTCAATTTTAATTCAAGAACAATCGAACTATCGCTCTTCAAAAATATTAAGTATGAAGATTTCAAGACTGAAGTAATCACCACATAACTTGCATCGCCTATGAAGCCTATTCTGTATGTAACCCTAAACCTATACGGTATATAATACTATAAAACGTACACCAAGTTACTAAAACTGTGTATAAGACAGAAGATCAACATCTGAATATCCTTTTGGAAAACAGACGGATATATTGTCCAGTGTAAAATGATTTCACAGCCCAAGCTTATGTGACTTACAAATTTATTATATTACTGCATGAAGAGTTAAAAGACTAGAATAATGCTTAAGGCTGAAATCCAACGCTATGCAGAGGAACAAGTGGATGATTCATGTATTACTAAAACACAGCTTCCAAACAGGCAATAAACAGGCCAAACATAAAGCATCAGTAGTGCTAACAGTGATCCTAAGAGGAACTCCTCTTAGGAAAATAATCTTAGAAAATTCTCTTATGAAAGAGTTCACTGAAAGGGATTTGGTCTAGATACTAAGCATTCTCCCAGACATTTTTCTGGATTTAAGTGTAGAAACACATAGTTTTCTTAAGAAGCTGCCTGGAAGTGTGAGGTTTTCAGAGAGAGAGATAGATTAAAAAAAAAAAAAATCACCACCACAGAGGAGGTTTAAGGGACAGGGTAGAACTACAACATGATTTCCATTGTCTTCAACACCAAGACAAACTTGTATTATTGACACCTTTGTAGTACTTTACAAAATGTACACTATATATATTATATATGCATATAAAACAGTATTATTTCAATCACTAAGTTCTTCCTCATCACTGAAATAAGCACTTTTCTTAATCCGTGGACGTTTTGAATCATCTGAAATTGAAGATTCCCCTGCTGGCTGTGTCCATCTTTGTTCTTCTTCCTCAATTTTGGCTTGCTGCAATGAAGAAAAGGAAAAGTATTAGCTAGGATTAAGAAAAATTAAGGTGCATTACAAATAATAATGTTCATTATTAATATGCATTGAATTATTTAATAAAGTTAAAGAATTCAAAGGATTTATCTCCATTTCCAGATAAACTGTGTGATGAATGCACTAGAAAACATTCCTGAAAATAGATGTCACATGCTGGCAGCAAGTCTTCTGCACCAGGGCAGGCCACGCGGAGGAGAATATTTTCAGAGAGGAACTTTGCATCTGGCAGTCTTACAGAACTATAGAGCAGCTTAGATCTGAAGCCAAGAATGCACCTCATTTTTAAGCGACATCATTGCCATCGGCTTTGTTCCACTAACAATTCTTCTGTGTGTTGTCTTTTGCAGTCATACATTCAGAAAATTAAGGTCTTCAGGGATGCAAAGGTTACTCAGCTAAAGGTTTGAATAGATGCTTCCTATTTTTACGGGGAAACATGCTATCCCAGGTAAAATCTTTGGATGGTGGGAGAAATGGGAATGCTCCCTGGCTTGCTTACATTTATAGGGTTTAATTCCAACTGCAGAGTTCTCTGGCAGGTGTGAGATAATTGTGCATTATCACGCACTGGAACAGGCTGCCCAGGGAGGTGGTGGAGTCACCATCCCTGGATGTGTTTAAGAGATGGGTGGATGAGGTGCTGAGAGATATGGTTTAGTGGCGGACAGATACGGTTGGACTGGATGATCTCTAAGGTCTTTTCCAATCCAGTGATTCTATGATTCTATATCTGCACCATTTTTTAAACTACATCACGTGAAAGTTCTGCACTCATTACAGTCACGTTCAGGCCAAAGTTATCTTAGAAACTCGTGGGTCTTTTTGAGGGATATATGGACACACAGGCAACAGCTGAGGACTAGGGAGCCATGAAATTTGAACATCAGGTCGGGCTTACTCTGTATAGCAAAGGAAAAGCCTGCAAAGAAGTATTAAAGAAGACAGTAAAACAGCTGTCAGACTATCTGCATAACAAAGAAATGCATTAAATATGTTTGAAGAGAAGAGGTCAAATAGAGACTGCGATGGACTGTATTAGGCAATGGAAGTGCTCCAGAAATAGATGTTCAGGGATATTCCGGTGACCAAGGGCAGAGGATGTACCTGGTCCTTTATACATGACTGTTCTTCTGGCTGCTCAGTTAACAGAGTAAAGAGGAATTCGTGGATCAGAAATCTAATAGAGCACCACAGCAGAGATGACTTGAAACTAAGCAGCAAAAGAGCTTGAGGTAATGAAAGAATTGCAATGCACAAAACACAGCAACAGTGAAAGATTGAGGGGAAAAAAACAGAAGTGACTGAACATGCCTGTAATACGAAGAAACCCACTGCAGTCACCAACTACCGACAACCAAGAGTGCCCTGAGTGCTACACCCGCAGGTGTCTCTGCTCTGTATCTCAAAGCTTCTGAAAAGCAGCTAGAAGAAGGGAGTAAACCTGCATTTAAATGATAATAAATAATAAAAATACAATGCTTCAATTTTGTACCTGAAAAGCTATGGCTTGGCTGAGGCTATCCAGTGCAGGGTCTTCTCCTTCCTCTTCACTTTCTTCTTCCTCCTCACTTCATTGTGCAGAGAGACAAAAATACATAGATCTTTATTTTAAGCGTTCATTATGAAAAAGCTGCCTAAAAGAAGTATTAGCATGTAAATAAATATACATACATTTCTTCTGGCTCAACTATTTTCTTTCTCTTCTTCTTCTCTTTCTTTTTTGGTGGTTCCCGCTCTCCCAGCATATTTTTAGGACAAGCATAACTTAAGTGTCCTGCTTCCTTGGAGAAAAAGAAATCCACTTAACAGAAACCATTACAAACAACTACACGTTGAAACATATCATGAAGAAAGTTAATGTATGACAGTTCATGGGGAAAAAAAAAGAAGCAATTAGTAAGATAAATGGAATGCTGAATTAGCACACAGAAGACAAATTCTTCTCTATAAGCTTGCCATGGAAACGGAGATTGGTGGCGATACGCATGTTTAACTGCAAATTGAGAACAAGCTACGAGCAAAGAAGATTTTCTCTGGCTGCTGCAATAGCTCAACACACTACAGCACAGTTTATGTTCAAGGCAAGATATAAACCTCACGTCTTCGCAGGTTAAGAAATAGGAGTCAACATTTTCACTCTCAGAAGTCCTATGAGTATAAATCAAGTTTTTATTTGACGTTAAATACTGTCCAAATTTCAATCTCCTATGTTAATATACTGAGGAAAAAAGAGAAATTGCCTAAAATTTAACACAAACTTATTATGTGTAAAAACAGTTGTTTCCAATATTTATTTTATTGACAACCCTATCATGAGCTTCCAAAGATACAGCAAAAGCATGTATTTTGAAGCAAAGATGAGGAGGTTTTCCTTCTCTGATACTTGTCTCTCTCTGCTCATCAGCACCTTAAGCAGCTATTAGAAGCACATGTTTTCCCCCACCCCACAACACCAACTAAAAGAGGGGTATTATTGTTCTTGAAAATGGTACAACTGCTATGAAGTTGATAGTATCAACAGGAAAAGTTATTTTAACACCACGGGCAGGAACAGCAATGGTCAAACTGAAGAAAAAAGCTGGAATATAGCAGCTCATTTTTGGTTTTACTCACCCCACATTCATAACACTTGGACTTATCAAAGTAGTTACGCCTACGAATGAATTCTGCTGCTCTTCCATTATCAATGGCAATACTTGCTTTTATTACTCTTCCAAACAACTACAGAAAATTGGAAAAAAAAATAAGGTAAATATTTTGGGTCTGCAAACCCAACCCTCCCACCAAAACAACTTCCCACAATTTACCTGTTTGTTATTAAGTGCCCGGGAACAGTTTTGTGCAGATTCTTTATCCAAAAACAAAATAAAGGCAACTCCTTTGCTCTTCCTGGTGTCTTTGTCTTTCATAATAGTAACTCTGGAAACATATAACCACATTACTGACACACTAAAATTACTTCAGAGATGTTTTTTTCCGTCAAGATCTCAGTGGGATCTTAGCTTTGTTACACAGCAAAAAGGAAATAAAGTATATTTAACAATAGAAAGACTCATTAAACTCAAAGGAACAGCCAAACAGGCCATGTGCTTACAGGTAGAACGGAGATGATATTTAAAAGTATATGTGGACTTTCTGGGTCCAGTATCATTCATTATTCCCTTGGACTTGAAGAACAGAGAACGTGCTCTTCAGATTTGCAGGCAACCTAATTTCAGGGAACTACACACACTGGAGGTAAAATTGAAATTCAGGCATAATCTTGACGACTGCCATCATTGCTGAAAAACACAGTATACTGAACTGCATCCAAACTGAGAATTCTAGCTGGTTAGCCCTACAGAAACAAGCAGGTTCATGACAGGAAACGGTAAGTATATGCAATAGTGTTCTACAAACATCACTAACATCACTAACCAAGCAGGTCATGGATGCAGGTGTTATTTTACATGCCAGACAAATTAAATTTTCAGTCTAATGTTGGAATCAACAGCTCCAGTAGCACATCAAGAAATTATAGAAAGACTTAGATCCAGTAAAAACAACAGGCAAAGAGAAAGAATGTCAAGAGGTGAAGAGAGAGGTGGGGAGGACACCCACACAACCTCAGTTGTATTTAGCCCTAAAAAAACCAAGTGGGAAACAGGATGCTAGTCTGCATATACATAAAAATAAAAGTAGATGTTAAAAAGTAGGGAATAAACTCCTCCCTGTGTCCACCACAAGAACAAGGTTCAGCCACAAGACAACCAAAATTTTCAGTAGTAATAGGACCTTTTTTAAAAAAAAATCAAAAAAACCCCAAAAAACAAACCAACTCACAAAAAAACACACCAAAACCCCCCACTTCAATGCAGAAGGCCTACCAGAGAACCTGTGTAAGTAACAACCAGTAAAACTGACTTTAGAACAATTCTATTAATTCTTTTGCCAAGTTACCCTTCCAAAAGTTCTAACGGAACCCCGATATGACTGTTGGTCTTCCAACTGGGACAGTGAATGTACCAGTTAATAACACACAAGCACAGAAAGAAACAAGTGTGAGGAATCTTCAAAAGCTCAGCAACTTCTCAGAGCCCTAAAAAGTCTGCTTTCTCACTGAACAAACTGAGCTGAAATCATAATATTCAGAATATATTGGGGTGAGAAATGGAAGAAAAGTCAATGTGATTTTGCAGAGTCAAAACACAGTTCAAAAAAGATGGTCTATTAAAGCCTATTTAGCTAAGTTAAAGCTGATCCAGATGACATTACTATGCTTTCTGCAAAGTGTTTTAAAGTCCCTGAACAAAGACTCCACAGCAATCAAACTAACATGTAAAAATATGTTTGTTGGGAATTAATAATTAGTTACAAACAGGAAAACTGATCCTTGCTAGCCTCAGTTTCACAGCAAAATGGGAACACCAGTAGAATCCCACAGCATCTGCACAGTTTAGAGTCAGGTCAGCTTGCAAAGGGGTGAACAGAGAACAAGTTTTGCTACATATAACAAAATGTCATGGTAGTATTTTACGCATGGTATTCAGTGACTCTTTGCATTTGGTTTAAACTTCTGGCACAGACTAAACAAAACATCAGGACAAAAAAAGTATCAGCAAGTAATTTTTTTGCAAAACAATATACAGGTGAGGGAAAACAGTAACTGTGCAGATAGAATGGCAAGTTCTAAATTAGCTACTTTCACACAGAATGCAGTGCAGGATTTCTTCTGCACAGGCATCTGAAAACACCATTTCTGTTATCCATAACAGTCCAAAAACCCCAAATAAAGCCCTAGAAACTATTAAAAACAATAAAAAAGAAACTATTAGGAAACAAAAGAGATAGTGACACCTTTAAAATGAGCAATGTATCATACAGTCAACACTTCACACAACTGTCATCCTCCTAACAAACAAGTTCAAAAGCCACAACAGTAGCAGACCCCTACCCCCAAGCACACAGAGTATAGGTACATCACAAGTGTCAAATTTATGGAGAACAGGCCCCTCAAGGGATATTAAACACCAGCTTTACTACAACCTTCACTCAGTGTTTGTTTGTTTGTGTTTCCCACCCCCCCCATCAACGATAAAGACTGTAGCTGCCCAGTTGTATTGGTCACTGCATGTCTGCCAGAGGCTTACATAAGGGTTTTTCTCTTGGTCAATTTATGATTTTCTGAAGTTATTTGGCTTTTCCTGCTATTTGTCACCTGAAATACACTCCTGAGACTTCAAAACCTTTGAATTTAGCTCTGCATCTCTCAGATTATTACAGCAGCTACTAGAAGTTAGAGTAGATATTTGCCGTGTTGAAAACTGAAGTCTTGAATCTCATTATTCTGAGTGGTTAAAAAATAAACAAAAGAAATCAGCAAGTTCCTTACTGTGGCATTTATTTCTATCATATCAATACAAAGGCAGGTGCTCTCAAGTACTGTTCAGGAATACATCACATATTGAAAGTTGTTACTATGCAGACTTATGTCTAATCTTAAATAGAATACTAAGCAGTCACAATAACAAGTTCCTCTACAGGCACAAACAGAGGAACTGTACATGGCAACTGTGGGAACCGTTTGTGGTAATTGTGACATCCAGTTCATGTAAGCAGAAGCTCCCACTTTCACACTGACCCACTCCCAGGTGGTGTCTGGGGGAAGGTGAACACCACTTACTAGGAAGATATTGTTTCAGCTGTTTCAGAGAAGACCACTGGTATGTAACAACATTCTACTTCCTCTTAAGAAGTGATTAGCAAAACCTGTCCACAACACAAATATTTTTATACGTGTGTAACTGCAAGAACTTCCAGTTGTTAATTAAGTTTACACTTTATTAAAAATGAATAGGTCTTCAATACAGTTCCACATTAACACTTCAATTATGAAAAGCACAAGACTTTCAAGTGAAGCAAAGACATTAAATATTTAAAATGAAAGCCACAAAAACAACAGGCCACATCAGGTCACTTACTTGACAACTTTCCCATACTTCGAAAATATCTGAAATAGAAAATAAAAAGATTTAACAGTCAATTGCATTTCACTAGTAATACATTTATCAAAATGAGCTTTTCTAAGAGATATATATCAGTATTGTTGACAACGATTTTTAGTGTAAATACAAGTTTAATCTGCACAACGCAGCTCTTAAAAAAACTTACCCTGTATAGGTCATTGTTTGTCAAAGCAAAGGGTAAATTGGACACATACACTGTGCTTTTGCTTGGTGCCAACCCACCACTCATTTTTCTGATGAGAGGAGAAAGAGAGAAGAGTTAAATTGCATTCAACAGAGCAATCAATTATTAAACAATTGCAAGGCTTTTTAAATGTTGTTTTTCAAACCTAACCCAGACAGTCATGATAAAGTTTCAGGAAGGCATAGCTTTCATTTCCCTTTCATCATGCCACATGAAAGTAATGTATGCCTTCATACAGAAGACATACATTCCTTCCCCCTCCCCTGGATCCAAAGCATATTTTTGCCGTATGCAAGTCAATTTGCAAGTCACGAAAAGACAGACAAATTAGTGTACTTAAAATAAGCCTTTGCTGATTTGTCCAGTAAAGAAAGGTTGAAATCCAGAAAGAAACAAATAATCACTTATTAAACATTCTGGTCAACATGTGAAATTAATGACCTTTCTTCAAGCAGCTGCATGTTCTAATTGTTTATACAAGTTTCAGTTCAGCTGCATTCAACACAGAATAAGCCACATTCAGTTAAAAGGAAAAAAAATCCCAACCCCAAAAAAAAAGCTTCCCTAAAGCAGAGTCCTAATTATTGGGGCAGAAAGATACATTTTAAAGCCAATGTAGTATCTCAGCTGCTAGAGCAGCAAGTATTTCCTCCTGTGTCTATGTGTTCCTCAGGTTTCTACACTGCTCTGGAACTGCAAGCGTCCAGACCTGATGATAGATGGCATCTCCCCCAGAGGCACTCCCCCTCTTCCTCCTGATTAAGCAGCTTTATACTGGCAGGAACCAGGGAAATCTCCAATCTATTTTCATTTCCAATCTCTTTTAAGCTCTTGAAACTGAGCAGCCAAGAATATGTCTAGGAACAATGAATCAGTTAAAAAACCTTGTTGTAACTGCATACACATCATCCAATACTAGGTAAAGAATAACTGAACTAACTTGAAAAAGAACAGCCTACATTTTTCCTCAAGTTTGGATACTTCCCAAAAATGTTCAGTGGTGCCAAAGTCTGTACAAAACCCTTCCTCCCTCCGATCGTTCTGTAGCCATGGCTTGGTCCAAGAGCTAAGTGGGTAAAATTTAAGATCAGAAGAACACACAACCCTTATGAGAGGGCAGTTTCCTGCAGCCTTATTCCTGCTTTTTGACACCTCTAGCCCATTCCTGAGGATCAAGCCTTTTCTTCAGCAAGACTAACTCATTTGAAAAACACAGACAAAAGCTGATGAAGGGATGAAAGAAACTGAGTATTAGAAATCAACATCCATCACAGTACACACAGTTTCTTAAGGGACTTTTCGGGTAGTGAGTTTGAGCAGATTGCTTGGCCAAGTGCCCACAAAGTAACTATTATCACACTCTAATCCGGCTGTGGTTATTTTCTGGCATTTCATGATTCAGTCATCTGAAGACCTGACATTCCCAGTAGACACTGATAATCCAAGTGTTTTGCTTCTCTTCCCTGACAAGCTTACTGTATCACAATTCATTTGAGTGGCAGCTTCCAAGTGATTGAATTTTCAGTTCTTCCAGGTTCAGGAACTGTGTTTTTTGGCATGAGCAGAAATGGCAACATAAAGGTTAAGCAAATGAAAACAGAATAAATTTGCAATAAAGGCCACACACTGCATCTGGTGTTACGCAGACGGGATTCATTATCCCAAACTCCTTGCTGCTTGGTATTAATATCCTTGACAAGTCTAACCAGACTGACTTGGCACCATGCCACGCAAATAGATGGCCAGAAGTGCAGTTTTCCAGCTGTGTGGTGGATACAAAGGATACCGTAAGAGCTATCGTAGTGTTGCGTTACAGTATGTCGCCAATGCTAATATACTGCAACAGCAGAGGTGAACCTCGTGTGGCTGTGGATAGCAGTTTAACTCTGTCTAAAAGCCAAGACAGGCCAAAGCACCTCATAACAGGAGACCAAGCAGGCCCCATATTAATGAACAGATGCCAGCGAGGAGGGCACGACTGGAGAGGTCAGCTTGCCTATTCTGCAACATCGCGGTGCAAACCTCCAAAGAGAAGGTGATTCGTCATGTGAAGATTACTACAGGCCTAATAGCTCAGTCAATAGGAAATTATTAATGAATGCAAAACGCAGAACTGCCGTTTTCAGCTGTACACTGCTTTTTCAGAAGCGAGCTGAGAGAGTTGCACCCTGGAGTGCTGGCTGCCAGGCAGATGAGGTTGAGCTTTTTTCTAGTCCCCTGGACAAATTTAAGTGAAACAGTCTTGCTGCTCTGACTGCCCAAGTATTTCTAGCAATTTGTATTGTTTGGGACTCTCATGCCAGGATTTCTTACTTTTAATGTCCAACACACTGAACAGGCACAATTTTAATAAATGAGGAAGTACACTGACTGTAAAACTATCACCATGCTTATGTTCAAGATGGCAAATGGTCAAATTTACCACTCCAGGAACGAGCATTTCCACCGATCAGCAGGAGGAATTCCTCTTCTAAATACTAAGGAGTCATTGGGATGGTTTATAAATGTCTTATTTAAGCCAACAGATACACTGACAGGTTTGCACAATGGCAACATTTGGGCCATTCATCTACTTAATTAAAAGCCTCATTGACCTTACTATGCCTGCTACAGAACATTCAAAAGCAGTACTCTACCAAAAGTAATCTCTCAAAAAACTTGAGCATGCTAAAATGCGCATTTCTGGATATCTGTTGTGAACACAGTGGCATAACTGCAATTTTAGATCCAACTATTGGCACAATTCTTTCCACCCCAATAAACTTCAACAAAGCATCACATGTCAATTTTAACTCTGCTATAATCAATCATAGAATGGTTTGGGT